AAGTATATTTACGGCCGCTCGTCCACAGACCACAAATCACTCCAGTGGCGGGGACGCTTTTGCGAGCTGCTTTTGTGACCAACTACTCACGGGAGTCAAGGCTCCCCATCGTAAGCAAACGGTGAGAATGCAATCTTTTATGGTACAGACATCGTTCACCAGATCAAATCACCACCACTCTAATCATAATAGAACCTATGCTCGAATTGTATTTTACAAGGCTATATCGACTGCGGCTGGGATTCAGTAAAACTTACCAATATAAAGATTTACCATTGAACTACTAATGAGTAGTGAGATATAAAAAGAAAAATAAGCTCTAGCCCAATTACCAGAAACAAGCGGAACAAGATATAGGACATCAGCTGGTGTAAGTCCAAGCATGTTAGCAGGAAAGCTGCATATTAGAGTATGATATATTTAATCCCAATGACCAAATATTTTTAAAATTCATTGTGTTACTTTTCAGTTAATAGGGAGTAAAAATAATCAATATGCGGATGGGGGAAAGCGACTGTTTACCGTTTTGGTTTGGGAAGTTCATGTCGTACACTGCATACTCACGATCGGACATCAAAGCTGTCTCCGGGATGATTTGATGGTACACCTCCTCGATCACTTGATCTGTCAGGATTCCACTGATACCCTTCTTCAATGTTTCCAGCAATCGGAAAATTTCACATAGTGGTGCGCAACTGAAAGGAGAATGAATGTCAAGTAAAAGAAATGAACGGGAACGTATGTAAGGGACAGAATTAACCATAAGATAAGATAAGTGAAAGAGCTGAAACGAGAGTAAAATTCATGTGTCTTGGAAAGCAAAAACAATCGCGACATAACAACAATGAACCAGCATCACGAGAGGGGACTTGGATGATCCAGATCAAGAGTTACACCTACGGATCACTTGCGGTCGAACTTTCCTTTCCAAGGCTCCCATTTTATGGTATACTGAGCCTCACTCCTTTTCCCACCCAAGAAAAATTACTTTTGTTTACAAACCACAAACTCTAAAGCATCCTTATCCGGGATTCAAACCACATACATCGCAAAGATCAGATCAACATTCCTTACCTTTTCAAAATTTGTACATCAACATATTAGTCAGAGGCTGAAGTAGCCGAAGTAGTTCTTCTTAAATTGCAAAACAAACCGATGAGAATTACACGATTAGTCAGGAATATTTAATGTGTCCGTCTCAATTGTCACTCTCGCTAACATTTCTATAATTTCCTTCAATTTGGTCCATTATCGGGTAATGACAAATGGCTATTTTGGAGCATCATCACTCATGGTCGATACTGATAAATCAGGCGTCCACTCTCGAGTGAATCGAATTCTCGATGATAANAACACAAGGCAGTTAGTAAAGCGGGATGCTTTCGAACTTACGCGACGAACATTACGGGAAAGTGCGGGTGTGAAGATTCGAGGGTTTTGGAAGTGTGATAAGATAAAGGCATTTCACTGAAGTTCACTCGGTAGCTGTTGTCAGATAAGTAAAAGTAATATATAAACATTGCTGGAAATTAACACATTTGTTATATGTGGATCACAGTAATGATACATGGATTGCTTTTGAAATAATAAGATCCGAGGGCATAAAGAAATAGAGATATCTGGTGGGCAGAGATGTATAAGAGTCCTCAACGATTCTACTGATGCGATGATGATGAAACAACCTCTCTTGGTTAGCATGACCCTTGGGATAGTGTGACAGGTGATGTGAATTGCAGAAATGATGCACTTGCAGAACTGTTTATCACGGTGGTAAGGAGACAATAAGGCTTCCATGAACGAAAGGGGCTGTATTTCAAATTCTAGTAGATATGCCCTGCTGGCTGACCCCAATTAAGTCAGAAGTACAGTCCATAGCGTTTCGCGAAAGTATAGTTGACTGTATGTACGTGGAGCTAAAGCTGAAAGCGGAGTTAATCGAAACCAGTCACAATTCTCGCCCCTCCCCCGCCCGCCCGCACGCACAAAAACCACTAATCAGAACGAACTGTGAGTTTAAATGTAAATTACTAGGATCCAGCTCAATGCAATCCCTTGAGCTCGGAAAAAGCGGAGGAAGGGGAGATGATTAAAATGCGTGTCATTACATATATAAAAACCGTCGACACTGTCTGATTTCTGCGTGCATGAGCATAACCACAAAAGGGGGTGACTGTAGTGATAGTAGTAATAGTAGTAATACGCATGGAACTCGAAACACGAATCACGCAATACAAATCACGGAGCAAGAATCAAGGATCAGCTATCACGGACTGAATCACGTAAGCACTGGATCGCACTTGAACTAGCACGCAATATCCCCCGTAACTGAGACGCAAGGAAAAGGCCACAGAAATGGTAGTTTGTTTATTGGAAGAAATAAAGGAGATTAAATAATATGCACAAGATAGGCTCATTGGCTAGCCAGGCTTCTTCCAATCGCCTTCCAGTATTGCTAGCATCGTTCTGCTTCTACCTGGGCCGCACGATCTCTGATTGGCTGCTACGGTCTGCCTATGGTATGAAGTCGGAAGCAGTGACACGTACGCGCGTTGAGTACGTCATCCGTGAGGTTCGATTGATCGCATTTGTTCAAAAACTGTAACTCATCGCTACAGGTTAGGCGTCATCTCGTAGGACAGACAACGATACGCCTTGCTCGAGTTTGATCTTCAACAGGGGCACACGCCTTTCCCATCCTTCATAGAACGGTCTTAGAAGAGA